TAGCTGCACACCTCAGTCTCTCAGAAATTTTTTGATGTACTTTCAAGTTGTGTCATTGTACATTGCCTGTAAAAGATTGATTCTAACTGATGAATGATACTGGCAGAATCTTGCCAACATAGCAGTCACCATATTGCGAACTGAGAAGGACCACAATCAATAAGTGTCAGGAAATTAGCACTGTCTTAGTGTGTGATATCCATTGCTAACCTGCTGCAGTTATTTTTCAATCTCAGCTTTCCTTTCTGCCAATGTACTGGTTCTGGGTCTGTGGATTCTCAGGTTTCACAATCCTTGCACCCTTTTTGATACTGAAGGCTCAACAGACTTGACAAAGTGCAGGTCTCCTCTTCACACCTGGGTAACCACTTTGTTAGTGGATGTTAGCCACCTGACTCTCATTTAACTTTCTCCTCACAGTAGCACCCATCCACCCCCAGTTGCACAGACTTGGCTCCTTCCCCGTGTAGATCTAACCACCTCTGTGACTCTCTGGTAAGGCGCAGTCTGCTCATTTTAGACTGGATCTGACCAAAGACTGCTGTTGATGTCTTTTCCCCCTGAGTTGTTTCCCCAGCACTCAGATGAGACATACCCAAACCTGTTGCATCAAAAGCACCGTACTTCATGGCATAATCTGCATGCCTGGTTTTCCATACACCTTCTAAGCACACTTGCATACAGTCACTGGCCTGGTGGTTGGGACCAGAGCACTTGCAACAAATGATGTCACTCTTGCACATGTTGGGAGAAGTTACTTCAGTGCCTGTACATGTTCATTGTAAACATTTGGCAACTGATTATTTGGATTCTTTGTCATCAGTCATAATGGCACAAGCCCGGATCAGAAGATGCTCCATTGTGTTCATTCTGGATGATGCCTGGAGAAAACCACCTGACATGTTGTGGCAGTCCAGGCACATGTGCATAGCATCCATTGCTCAGGCAGCAGTCCTCCAACAAACTGAGCCAGGCATTGCAACCCTGCCAAAAACTCATCCCCTGTTTCTCACCACATATTGATCAAATGCATTGAATAAATCCATTATATATGCAGGCATGAGGGCCAACTTAATCTGCCTTTTGCTTGTTACTCATTTGTTAGTACACATTGAGAGCCACACCTATCAATCACAGAGGCAGGATGCGTTTGACTTTCTTTATGTTGCAGAGTTCACTGATTCTTCATTTTTGCTTCATTACACAATCGATCACAGCAACACTAGACTCAGGGATTAACCGGGCATCAAAGACTTTGTTCAGCATCTTTGTAGAAGAAAAAATGCCAAAATAGCTTGTAGAAAATCCACACAGGAACAAGAAAAGAAACAGGTTGAAGATAAATCCTTAAGAAGCTCCAGCCAATATCAGCACCTTGTACAATGCACCAACAGTGAGAAACTCCAATAACAATTCTCATAAGGTTTTTATTATAAAAATTTACATTATATCAGGCTGCTGCCAAGTGCTCACAGAACCAACCAACCAATCAGTGCATAGGATAACATTTTTTTTTCTTTACTACAGAAAAATTAAGGAATTAAAATAAAAGTTTATATGAAAACAAAAGGGATTTTTGACAAAATGCCCTCAATGCATCAGTTGCTCCATGTAATTTTGATTTAAAAAATGCTACTTTAATTAAAAGTGAAAGTAGTTTATTAAAATAAAAATGTATAGAAAGTGCTTTAATCACTTGATCATCTATAGTCCAGAAAAATTTGTGTCCAGGTTCTTACATTTCTCCTTGTTTGGCAGATCTATTATTATAATGCAGGAGATTTAATAACAAAAGTGATAAAAAAAACAAACAAGAGAAAAAGAAACAATGTAATTGGCTAGACTATACACTCAAAACACATATTTAAAAAGAAAAGAAAAAAAAATATATTTAATTTTTAACTTTCAGCATCCCCTCTTCTTCATGTTCATGTGTAATCACATTGACACAAACATCACTTTGGCCTGATGGTCAAAATATATCACAAAAATATTTTCTCTTTGTCATAGATTTTCTTAAAATTCTTCTTGATATTCACCCCCATATATATATATATATATATATATATTATATATATATATATATATATATATATAATGCCCCCCACCCTTTAACTTTCGTTTTGTTTTTAAATTTCCCTAAAAAATCATTTTTACCACCAGTTACCAACAATTGCCTGAGGAAGTATTGAAACATGAAAGCTTTTGTGTAGCAGTAAAATGTTTTTATTATAATTATATATTGTATAATAAAAAATATATATATATATATATATATATATATTATTTATTTTGGGTATATTAAAAAATCACTACATAATAGCAATTATTTTTCAACACTACAAATGTGTCTCCTTGGGTGATGTTAAACTACTGGCAAGTGAAAGATTAATTTCAAAAGCTGAATACTTTTAAAAAAAATGGTTCGTGGGCTTTTCTATGATTAACCAATCAAAAGTGACCTATATATTATAATAATCATAATGACTAATATAATAAATAAGGTTTAAAGTAGACACCTGAGAAAACAGTAATTATTACATTCTCTCTCTCACTCACTCACTCACTCACACACACACACACACACACACACAATAAATAAATAAATAAAAAACAAATAAAATCTTTATTTTTCATCTTCCAACATGATGATACACTCAAAATGTATTCTAAAATACTCTCCTGTCTTACACATGTATAAAGTAAGCAACTAATGACAAGACTGACAACAATGCTACTCTGATCAAAGGAGAAAACAATTAACTGAGATAAAAATATTTAGTGAGTGCCTTGATTGTAACATCATCCACAGTAACTTTGTGCCTTGGCTCTTACAATATTTCACCATTCCTAATAGAACTTCTATTATCACAGTGTGGGATATCTAATAACAAAACTGATAGAAAGAAAAGAAATTTAAATGAAATTGGCTAGATTGTATACCCCCACCCAATTAAATTTAAAATTTACAGCATCCCTCATTCTTATGCACCAATGTAACAAATTTAGTCCAGTGAAGTCCTAAAGGAAAAAATGTGCCACACAAAAACCTTTTTTCGACTTTATCATACATTTTTCCGCCAATATTGTTCTTGATATATAAAAATGTATATATTGTTATCTCTTATATATTTAGACTTCCACAATCATATATGCATAGTTCTGTACAAACCATCATGTACATATTCACTGATACACACATGTATTCAATAACCACAGATAATCATATCATATATATGCACCTACATCTATATACACACATTTCTGCATGCACACATTTGTAAACATTTATTTTTTGTGTTTAGAATATTTTACTCATTTTTTTTTTCTTTTACTTAATTAAATTTTTAACTTTCGAAAAAATTTTAAAGACTTTGTCAAAATTAGTTTCTTTCATTTGACGCCTTTTCTTTAATCAAATTGTACTGATTGCAAATGTTTCAAGAGTTCTTGAAGTAAATGAAAATTCAGTGCTAGATGATTCTGGAAATGTTTAGATTCAGACACTATGTGTCTGTTAATTCTGTCTGTTGTCAATTGAACAATAATGATTATCCGGATCTTAAGACAAAATCTGTTTGTGTGACTCCAAAAGATTTCCTTTGTTTGGTGCTTTTGAAGGTTTCAATTCTCCAGATTCAATCAGACATGAGAATCATATAAAGAATCCTTTGACTGCAGAACTGATAGCTGGTTAATTAGTGTGAACAGGCAAATGAAGAATCTTGATAAGTTGTCAGATAAACAAAGCAAGTGTCAGGGATTTAGGATGACATCTTAATAATCGGGAATAAAGTAAAATGACCAGCTTGCTTAATTCACCTTAATTATTTCTTGTAGGGTTTGTAGAATGACAATTGAAAATGCTTTGCTTATAGAAGACAACAAGAGATGACAAAAAGATAATCTTGTTTGCAATATATTCATCGTTCACAATTTCTTATATCATTTTGTTGGTTGTATGTAGGTCTACAAACAGATATTGAATGACAGAAGATGCTAACAACAAACAAAACAAAGACTTGTGTAAAAAAAAATATATTACTAAGTTTATTTTCATTAAAGAAAATGAATCAATAAAAATAAGTTTACAGTGCACTAGGCCAAAAATATGTCTGCATATTCATGTAGGCAGTGAGTGTTGTTCTGAAAAGGACAGTTTATTGCATATCATTGATGCTGGCAAGGATGGCTAGAAATGGAGGTCTACTCTAGCTGGCTGGAGCAGCAGCTGATGGTGAGCTGCAGATGATGATGGCTGGCTGAACTGTGGGAAGGCTGTTGGCTGCAACAGCAGATACTACAGTTTGATCCTACTCATCTGGGCTGTGGAATTATGATATTCACTAACCACCCCATGCGGTTGGATGTGGCACAATGCCGTGTTTATTGTGGGGTATCCAAGCCTCAGCCAAAAAAAAAGAGTTTGAGTAGCACACTCAAAAGTAATCCATATCGTGATCAATGTAGAATATTTTTTTGATGCTTTGAGGGTTTTTTTATATCCAGAATCAGTTTTACAACAATTGCTGGTTAAGCTTTTTTTTCTGGTTATTTTTAAAAAAATGTGGTAGTGCCAATAGGATATGACGTCATCGTAACAAGCTGTAAAAAAAGATAAAACCTTTTCAGCTCGAGAAAACACTTTTTGTATTGGTTACTTGCTTTTATTGTTATTTTTCACCAGTATCTTTGGTAAAAAATCTAATTACGTCTTCTTATTGTGATACAATAATGAATGGAAAAAATAGAAAGGAGATGCTGTCCTGTTTATTGTCATTTAACGCAAGTTGCAAAAGTAGATGAAATTCATAAAAAAAATGAGTGATTAACATTTCATTATCTTTGACTAAAATTTCCTTTTAGATTTGTTTACTTTATTTAGAATCTTATGATTCTTGTATCCTGAAAGTATTTACCGCTTAGTTTTCTATCATTTTTATATTAATCTCTTTGAATCTGTTCAATTTTATTGGATCTTTGTCAGAGAATTATTGGGTTATGGCCATACCATGTTGAAATATTGGTTCTCATACAATCACTGAAGTTAAGCAACATTGAGCCTGGTCAGTACCTAGATGGGTGACTGCTTGGGAATACCAGGTGCTACTTGAATGTGTGGGTGGCATAATAAATAACGGCTCAATTGGAAAGCAGAGATTGATTTTCAATTCCATATGTGTCCATTCTATTCACCTATGCACAGAGAAAGGCATGAATTCACATCTCCCTCCAGCTATGGGTTAATTAGTAGGACCTGTATCAGCAAATCATTACTATCTCCCAAAAATTCTTCCAATCTAAAAATATTTTCTAGCTTTGAATAATCTTGAAAAAGGTTGATAAACTGTAAAACACAATCAGTCAATGAGAAAATTATATAACTGGAACTCTTAATTTTAACCTGGGATGTATATTTTTTTTTTTTTTTTTTTTTTTTTTTTGGCCACAACTGAAATTCTGAGTTTTTTAGAATTATTTTGTCCATTTTGTTTTGATTTCTTGACTGAACAAATTTGGTCTCACATTTCTTAACCCAACAATAAAACACTAAATTTCTATAAAATGAAATTAATACTTATCTATTAGACCATATCTTTTAGGGCAGTTTGGGGATTTCAAACCGAAGGTATTTTCTGATTAGAACTTCTAATATGGTATTCATGGTCTACACAAGGCTTACACATTGAATTTTTTAAATGCAAAATAGGTGTCCTTTTAATTCCTTTATTTTTCATTATTGTTTCTTGTTTATTAGTTTAACTTTCCATTTGAATTTCTAAGATGAAGAGTTATTATTATTTATGTTTGGATGAATATCCTTATCTTTTGTTGAGATTTTATCACAACATTTCAGCCATTGTGCTCTCCAGACTTCTTCAGGTGTCTATTAATTTTGAACTAAACCCTTTAAATAATATATAGGAGTAGATTGTTCTTATTCAGCTGTCTAATGATATCTTGTTTTCTTTTTTTCTTTTTTTAGTACTGCTCAATTATTGTTCACTCTATTTATACTTGAGTCTGAGTCTACTACTCAATGCAAAGATTGAACTCATAATTATTATGCCACCAAATTCATGAATGAACACTTTAATCCAGTAAGCTATTACAATAAACATTATGTCATTATATTCTGTGGGTACATGTATTTACAAGAAATAAATATATATAATAATAAAGATTGTATTTTGCCAAAAAAAAATAGTCAACAATGGAAATTCTGGAAGATAAGGTTTTAAGGAAGACAGTCTTTGTAATTTTTGTGCTTGATTTCAAGAAACTGTGTGCCAATAAAAATAATAAATTTGTTCACTTGACTGTCTCAAAAATAAGTGAACAAATTTATTTTTATCATTAAGTTGTTCAAAATATAATGTCTGATTTTAGGATTGACTTTTATTCCTAAATTAATGTATTTAAACAATATTTAAATCAGTCGAGGAAGGAACACTGAACACTTATACATTTCTCACATAGAGTTACAATGATTTTTAGGCCTTTATGTTAAAAATCTAAATGTTTGAAAAACAAGAAATATTTGAATGCCGTTTCTGTATCTGCTTTGTAACAATGTTTTTTGGCTTAAAGAATTATGAAGCTGTTTGGAAAAGTGGTGGACAGTGGGCAAGAGATCATGGGAAAATGGTGGGGGTGTAGCAAAGTCTTGCATCCCAATTTGGTGAGCTTCTGCACTGTCATCCTGGCACTATGTAGCCAAGCATTGTCATGAAGCAGAATTGAACTTTGTCAATTAAACAGTGCCAGTCATAATTTGCTTAACTGAATGTGAATTTCAACCAGTTGCTGGCAGTAAACGTTAACAGTGATGGTTTTAGTTGAATTCCAGAAAGCTGTAATGGATAATACTAAAAGTAGATCACCAGACAGTCACCTGTCTTCTGTTGGTGCAATTTCAGTTTTGGAAAGTGCTTGGGTCCTTTGTAATGATCAAGCCAATGAGCCAATCCATTTCTCATCATTACTCAGTGTTTGATCAAGAAATGGATCAATGGAATTTTGCAGCATCACATACATTTCAAAATGTCAAACTCTTTGACTTTCACTGATTTCATGTGGAATCCATTTATCAAGTTTCTTCACATTACCAATATTCTTGAAATTGTTAAAATCCTAAGAACCATTATCTGAGATGTTTCTCTGACACTTTGTTGTGGTTTTTGTTTGACTTAATGTATTTCAGATGTTGATTGATGTCTTCTACCCACTGTAGAAATTCAGAAACCAGTGCTGTACTGCCCAATTACAAAATGGATCCTTCCCCACATGCGCTCTGTTAATGTTGCCAGTAGTTTAAGAAGCATTATGACCAAACTTGAAGTCAATCAAAAACTGTAAATGAATCACTTCCTTTTCATGTTCAAGATGAGGGGTAAATAATGTTTTTAAGTTAAATTCTAAAAGATATCGATATGAAAATAACAAACAGGATAATCAAATTAGGAATGAGTCATATTTTTATGCAACTATTATAATAATAGAACACAAAATGTTTATTCAAAAATCAAACATTATTTTCTGAACAACCTAAAGCAATTGAAATGTTTATTCTAAAACTGGACATTCTTTTCCAAATAATGTAGTATATTTAAAGGAGGTGCAGATAATGGTTAACAGCTTGAAAAGAGAAATCATTGAGACAAGTTCAGTTATACTCAATTTTGCACAAATGGGAAAAGGTATGAAACTCTCTAGCCTTAGTTGACAGCCAGTCTAAGACAAGAAAAATTCAAAAACCAAGGAGAGCCGTTTGTAAACATTGTGCAACACTGTATCATTTCTCTCTCATTACTTCTGAAAAGTGTGGCTTGATCAATACAAGGCTTTGCAACTATAGTCGTGTGTGTGTAGTTTGGCCGGTACATTCTAAAAAAAAAAACAAGAAATTGCTAGTCACTCATAGGTCAAAAAAAGAGTCCACTACTATAGGGATAAAAATCTAAGTTGATTTGTATTTTTCTCTTATAAGTGAATTACAATTGCTTATTATGCTCAGTATTCCTATTTTCCATCCAAATAGAGGCACAGTTAGTCGTTGCTTTTATTTACATGGATACAATGACTAGGGGATCCGTTATCTGTTAGGCATGATTTCAATCCTGCAGTTAAAATAGTGCCATAAATCCTATATTTTGGTTCTGTGGAAGAGACCAGTAACATTACAAGGATGAATATTCTTGGAAAAATTAAGTGATAAGCAAATCTGGCATGGAGAATGAAATCCAAGCAAACTCCTCCTCTTGTTAATTGAATAAAGAGTTTGGTTCAAAATTCTAAACAGTTTATCAACTAAAATAGACAATGACCAAAGTATTGTGACTATGACAATCAAGATGAGAATGCTAGTCCAAATAAATCAGTCTATACAATAATTCCTCCTCTCAGAAATTCAGACATAGATTACAATGAATCTTCAATATTTTTACCAGGTGAGTGATTTCATTTTCAATGTCAAAACTTGGCCTTTTAGAGAACGACTACTCAACTGGACTTGGAGAGTTATTGAGAGTATTCACTTTGGTATGTACACCAATCAACATGCAAATACATCATCCCCCCTCCCTTAAATTAGGCTGGGAGGAGATAGCTTACAACTCAATGTGCATATAGGATATTACAGCATTTAACAGTGCAAAATTAAACATGTAATATAATACAACTTGCCAGATAAATTAACCATGTACAAGACTTGAACCAGAGACCATCATTTTCTGTATATTTTTCATCTTTGTTGTATTCAACATAATAATATATTTCAGTTGATGTCTTCTTTAAATTTCAGATTTGTAAACTTAGCTTAGAAAATTGGAACCACAAAAATTTAGTTTCCTCCAACTTCTTCAAAGTGTTTCCCTTATATTGTAAATACAAATTCATTTCTTGTACGTTCTTCAAATTGGCCCTAGTTTTTAGCAGCATTTTGTATGTTTCATTCAATCATCTGTAGGAGTTCTACAGATGATTTAATGAAACAATGTAGGCAATTTTTTCTTTTCTTTTTCATTGCATCTTCAGTCAGAAAATCACAGTCCAAGAGAATCACAAGATCTTGTTAATATGAGAACAAGCAAGGTTAAGTTTTGACTATTCTTATCAAAGAATCCACTCTTTTGTTGCTCAAAATGACCCCAGATAAGAAAAAAAAAGTCATCTTCTTCAGCCTTGGATTCCATTTTATCTCCATTCAATTTACTTATTTTTTAAACAAAATTTAAACTCCTTTTACTTTGAACATCTTTCCTTGTGATTCTGAGTCTTTTAATTTAGCCTCAGGCCGGAAAAGCAGTAATGCCCATTTCTTTTTTTTTTCTTTTTTTACATACATGTTCTGCTAGTCTTGATTTAATTATCTCACTTCAGATAATGGCTTTCCAGTATTCCTCAAGTGTGATGTGTAGGGCTGGTTTCTACTTTTTATTCTCCATCATGAAATATATTGAAATCATGAACATGTTCTTAGAATTACAAACAAACAAAAAAAAAAAATTACAAATTCATTGAAGAGTTATTTCTTTGTAAATAACAAAATCTTTCTATCAGTAATCTTGTGGGCATTTGTACATTAGGCCCTGTGACTAGAAATAATCATATTTTTCAATATTCATTTCTCATATTACTATAGATTAAGCACTCCAGATAATGATCAGTTTTATTTTATTAAATTTTTATATTAATAACAATATATAAAAAAGCACTCCAGATGATGAATTTCAGAAAAAAGTTTTTTTTTTTTTTTGTTTTTTTTTTTAATTTTAAGAAATCATGGGTATATTTTGTTTTTGGCTTCCATATGGAGTAATTAAGCAATCAATCAATCATTCAAACTATATAATAATTATCAATGTCTATTTATAGACTTCCTATGTATTTATATATTTCCTGGCCCATCTGTAGTGGAAAAGGAGGTCAATCAACATGAGTTAGTAAATGAATGAATGATTACTTCCTTTAGCCATCTCAATAATCTATACAAATATTTATCTGCATTTAAACAAAATTAGTTCCTGAGTATAATGAACAGTTTAATTAACTCCTTTACTACTACATTTCTTAGATTGCAGTCTTATTTGTTCAAGCCTTTCATGCAAG